CGGTCATTATGATGATTAAGAAGTGGGAAGACTTGGTGAGTCGGTCAACAATTATTCAGATGGCGTCATATCCTGCGCGTGCCTTAGGTAACTTTGTCACGAAGTCCATGGCGATATGTTCCTACTTCCATTCCGGAATCGGTAAAGACTGAAGTAGCCCGTCTGGGTGCTGATGCTCTGCCTTGACCTGCTGACATATCAAACACTTAGACACAAAGTCAGCTGTCATTTTTCATCCCATTCCACCAAAATCGGGGTCGCATGCTTTGGTACATTTTGGTGTTTCCGGGATGCATGGCAAACTTTGAATTATGGACCTCAGTTATAATGTCTCTCTTTAACTCACTGTCATTCGGAACGCACACCTTGCCCTGAAATCGGAGTAACCCATCGGCAGAGACTCGAAATTCTGAACTAACTCCCTGTTCTGCATTGTTCTTGAGAGCTACTAGGGCGGAATCAGCTGACTGAGTTTCCCTTATTCTCTGGATCAGCTCAGGTTGGATGGTCAAATGACTCAAACATGTGGCTCTCCTCAAGTCCTGAAGTCGAAACTGTTGTGTAGCCCCAATTGGCTTGCATTCTGAGACTATCAAATGGGCCAAGATACCTGCACTTTTCCTGCTGAGTGCATCGGCTACCACGTTGCCCTTACCCGGGTGGTATTAGATATCACAATCATAGTCTTTAAGAAGTTTTATCTACCTTCTCTAACACATGTTGTAATCCTTCTGGGTGAATATATGTTTCAAATTCTTGTGATCGGTATAGATCTGAAAGGTCTCTCCGTATAAATAATAGCGCAATTCAAGGCGTGTATGATTACGGCAAGCTCTAAGTCATGGGTGGGATAATTTTTTTCATGGCTCTTTAACTGTCTGGACCCATAAGCTATGATCTTCCAATGCTGCATTAGCACACAACCTAGGCCTAGATAGGAGGCATCATTTTAAACCGTATATCCCCTGATTCACTCGGCAAGGCCAGCACAGGTGCAGTAGTCGGCTGCTTCTTTAGTTCTGAAAAACTTCTTTCACAGTTCTCGTTCCACTCAAACTTGGCATTCTTCTTTGTGAGTCGGGTTAGGGGAGCCACTAGGCTAGAAAATCCTTCAACGAACCTGCGGTAATAGCCCGCCATTCCCAGAAAGTTGCGGATTTCTTTAACTGATGTCAATTTCTCCCAACCGAGCACTACTTCAACCTTTTCAGGATTCACTGACACTCCATCCTTTGATATGATGTGTCCTAGGAAAGCGGTCTGCTCAAGGTAGAATCTACGTTTACTCAACTTTGCATACAGTTTCTTTCTTCTGAGAACCTGCAAAACCTTGACTAGATGGTGAACATGTTCTTCTCTGTTTTTTGAGTAGACCAGTATGTCATCGTAACAAATTAATTTAGGAATTATCTGAAGACCCTGTTCATCAGATCCATGAAGATGGCTGGGGCATTGATTAGCCCAAATGGTATGACCAGGAACTCATAGTGTCCATACCTGGTTCGAAAGGCCGTCTTGGGGATGTCTTCTGTTCTTATTTTCACCTGATGTTAATCTGATCGCAGGTCTATTTTGGAGAAGACTTGCGCACCCTACAACTGATCAAAGAGGTCATCAATTATGGAAAGGGGATACTTGTTCTTGATGGTGACCCTGTTCAATCCTCTGTAATCGATACATAGCCTCAACGTTCCATCACCCTTCCTGGCAAAAGTGACTCCGACACCCCAAGGGGACACTGTGTCTGATAAAACTACTGTCTTGCAATTCAGTGATCTGTTTCCTCAGCTCCTCCATCTCAACGCGGCTCATGTGATAAGAAGCAACTGAAATAGGTTGGGTGCCAGGCTGCAGATCTATGGTGAACTTGACTTCCCTATCTACCGGTAGTCAAGGTAGTTCATTCGGAAACACATCTGAAAAGTCTCTGACTACCGGAATCTCTTGAATACAATTTTCTTTCTTGGGTTTGCCTAATTAGAGAAAGTAGCAAGGTTAAGACACTCGACAATTAAGGAAATTTGCCATCAAGGATTAAGTACTAAATGATTTTATTCATTTGTAAATGACTCCTCATTAGGAGGAGTGAATACAACCTTCTTACTAAAGCAATCTATGGTGGCGTGATACGTCGCTAGCCAATTTATCTCTAAAATTACATCAAAATTTTCCGTGTCTAATTCTATCAGGTCTACACTCAGTTTCCTATTTGCTATCTCCACGGTACAAGCCTTGTAGACAACTTCTCCTAGTGATGTTGCACTCTCAGCAGTAGATACAAATAACATTGAATCAAGTTTATCAGGTAATACATTAAATTTGGATGCAAAAATAGGTGAAACAAATGAATGCGATGTACCAGTGTCAAACAAAATATGAGCAAGATGGTTACATATGGTGTACATACCCTGTACTACGTTCGGGTCGGCGTCGGCATCTTGCTGAGTGAGGTTGTAAGCCCTGCCTTGAATAAGAGGTCTTCTTTGATTCTGGTTCCTTGGGCACTTTCTCGCATAGTGTTGGGCATTACCATATATGCGACAAGTGTTGTTGAGGCGGTAATATGGTTAGTCCCCGTGATCTCTGCCGCAATGCTGACAGATCTTACCACGTCCTGCCATTGAAAACCTGAGGGGGAGCCTGGATCACCGGTCTGGGCCTCTTGTTCTGTTGGATAGGCGCAGTAGGTGATGGTTTGCGGAGTGGAGCTGAGGGTCTGTGGTTCCCTGCTGACTGAGGGAGGGTGGGAAGGCTCCTCTCCACTAACTGTGCCTTGGCCAGAACGACTGAGTATGTCTTGAGCTCCAGTACAAATAGGTGCTGTTTGATCTCTGGGCGGAGGCCCCACTGGAACCTCCTAGCCTTCCTGCCCTCATCCATCAACGTCTCAGGGGGATATCGGCCAAACTCCAGGAACTTACGGACATATTCTGACACTGTCATGTTCCCTTGGACCAACTGGACAAACTCCATCTTCTTAAGATGTCGGATGTGCTCTGGGAGGTACTCTGCATAGAAGGCTGCTAAGAACTGTTCCCAAGTAACTGGAACAGGCAGGGTGGTCTGCTTGAGTTCCCACCAACGATCTGTTTCTCCCACCAGCATGTAGGTAGCAAGGGTGACCCTCTGCTTGAGAACCACTCCTAAGGTCTAAAGCCTTCTCCGTCTCCTCCAACTAGTACTGGGCATCTTCAAAAGAGGATTCCCCTGCAAAAGTAGATGGGTTCAGTCTCCTGTACTTCTCTACGTAGCCCGGGTCAATCATGGAAGGAGTTGGGTCCCGCGGAAGAGGGATTAGGCTGGGCTGAGGATAGACTGGGGGGCCCTGTGGTGGTACTTGCTGATATGGTGGGGGCACTGTATTATACTGTGGCGGTGCCGGGCAGTACTGTGGCTGGGGCACCGGATTATACTGCGGCGGTGGTACTGTGGAGGAGTAGGCTCGTACTGGGGTGGCTGGGGATTCTCTCGCTGTAGTGGTGGCTCAACCTGTGGTAGCGGAGGAGGGTTGGGTAGCTCCCTTCTCTCCTCTCGACCCTGCTAGGCAGCAATGAGTCTTTCTAGCATCTTAAATATTCTATCAACATCTTCCCAAAGCGAATCATCCCGGGTTGCTCGATTTAGTGGGGGTATTCCTCTTCTCATCTCTATGCACCTGCATTTCACAAGGAATGATTGAGTAATAATTCATTGGTTTGATATTTCTCTAAGTATTATTGTGTAAGGGACGAGTCCGAGGAATGCGGCTCTGATGCCAACTGTAACGACCCCGGAAATTTAAAAAAGAAATGTATATAAAGAATATAAGTGCGGAAGCGAAATAAAAGGTTCTAGTTAATATCCCTTACACAATAACTTAAACGTTCTAACAATACCGAAAATAAGTCATTTAAAGGAAAATACTGGAAATGAAAGATTATAAAAGAAACTAATAAATATAGGTATCTACTCGCCGTCTTCTTGTAGATCGGGCTCGGGAACCAAGTCATCCTGATCTGAAATGGTTAAGGAATGAGCTACACTAGTTCAGTAAAGACATCACACTATATCACTGTCACAGAAGTAAAGGTTGGTAGAAAACCAAAAACAACCAATGGAGCACAAGTTTCAAGTTAAGTTATTTATCAATAATCAAACCATTTACCGTCCACTTACCTCAGTGGGATTTATAAAAACGACCCATGTAAACAATAACATCATAGACATCATAAGTTCATACATAATCTGTAACATAGTACATGTCGTACTTTTATATTTCAATCATCAAACAACAGT